GGGACGAGCCACTGGCGCGGCCGCTGCTGCTCCGTCTGGCCCAGGAGCTGGTGCGGGGCTGGGCCGGCGGCGAGGAACGTATCAGCCGCCTACTCAACACCACCGACCTGTACCTGCTGCCCAGCCTCAACCCCGACGGCTTCGAGCGCGCCCACGAGGGGGACTGCGGCGGTAGCGCGGGAGAACAGCCGCGGCCGCGACCTCAACCGCAGCTTCCCCGACCAGTTCGGGATCGCTGAGCCCGACCTGGAGCCCGTGCCCGAGGTGCAAGCCCTCATCGCCTGGATGCGCCGCAACAAGTGAGTGCGGCCCGGGCCGGATCGGATTCTTCCCCGTCTGGTTTGCCCCCTTCTGGGGAAAGGGGAACACTCGGCTCTGCTCCCTGGGGGCTTCAGCTGGTGCTCAGCCTTTGCCAGTGCTTCCTAACAGGGCTTGGGAGGGCAAAACCCACCATTTCCACCTGTTTCTCACCATAGTCTGTACTGGGTTGGTCCATTTTCGCAGCTAGGGCACTCCTGCTTCCCAGCCCTCCTGTGTAGGAGAGTGGTTTGGTGGCCACAGATGCTGTGCTCCTGCTGAGGAGCCCCGCTGGGCACAGCCTGTGTCATGCACGCACCCACCCAGGTGCTCCTGGCCTCGATGGCCATCTACATGTCCCCCTTCTCCAGGAGCCCACAGCTGGAAACTTGTCCTCAGCTGCTTTGTCTTGAGGCTGGCTGTGGGTCTGGCTTAGGACATGCTTTCACTGTGAGCTGTGGGATGCTTAAAATATTCGGGGTTAAGCATATGAATGGCCTGTGTACAAACATGTTAACAGAGAGTTGTGTTCAACAGGGCTTACCCCCGTGTTTGTGTTTCATGGAAAATTCCCTGGATTTGGCAATAATGCTCTATGCAGCAGCGTTTCCACATATAGGCCCTGCTCCTGTGGCTCTCCTCCCCATCAGTCGTCCTCTCAGAGCACGCAGGATTGAGCCTTAAGTGCGCACGCTGACCCACTGGGCTCTCACCTGCCAAGGGGGTGAATGGGAAGCTGCTGTGCCCGGAGTGGGACAGCCTGGGAAGGCAGACGGTGCCTTTGAAGCCCACCTCCGGTTTGGGTTCCAGGGTAGCCCCAGAAAGCACAGTGGCCAGGCTGGGCACTGTCTCTTCATTTTAGAGAACTGTGGAAGGTCCAAGTCACTACGGTCAGCACAACCAACTGTGTGGCGTGGAGAAAGCCAGAATGCAAAGTCTGATCAGATACGAGTAACTAAACTGTGGCCCTCTTCCATAGTGGGGATGGAGAGAGAAATGGTCAGGGGTTGGCTGACGGCTGCAGTGCACTGTGCGGCTGTGGGTTGGATCCAGCCAACACACACAATGTTCAGCTTGCACAAACTGTCTTTATTAGAAGTTGGTGGTGCCCATGGGGATTGTTGCGTTAGAGGAATTTCATGAACCGCATCAGTAATTGCTTGTCCTGAGAAACCTTCAGGACAGCTCTGATGCCACAGTTTGCACTGAAATCCCTCCAGACTTGGTTCAGCTCAGAATTAGTTACTAGGAAAACTCATGCACATCCTTAATAACTTCTCGAAAATGCTTTGGGCTTTTTATTTTTGTTTCTTGCAAGTGTTTGAGGTGTGATTTGCACATAAGCCAAGGTGAAACGGGGAGAACGTGGTGCTCTGTGCATCCCTCTGCCTAGCAGTGCCAGGCAATGCTGGTACAATCATTAGACTAACACAACCACTGATAGAAAAATGAATGGGTAAACAGAACTGTTTGATTTTGAAAAGAGATAGTGAGTGTAATGGAATTTGTGTGCGCTATTTTAAGCAAGGCAAACGTATTGGTCATGTTACCTCTGCTCAGAAACTAAGTCCCATTTGTCTGAATGAGGAGGAGAGCATGTTTTCCCCCCAGTGCTGTATTTGGTGGAGAGGAAGAGCAGAGGCAGCTGCCTTTGAGATTCATTGCAATGCTTACACTGCCTGTGATCAAACTGAAGTGTGATATAGGGCATGCCATGCTGTATTTTCTGACTTGAGATTTTAACATCTCTGTCACACATCTAGATTTTATTTATGCGAATCAGTTCTGCTGTACATACCAGGCGTTGCTCACGAAGGGCCGCGAACGTTGCGTTATGTGCAGGGCACTGCTTGTCTGTCACGGAGCTTGAGGGCTCAGGCTTAGGCTGCCACATGAAACATGTTTCATCTCCACATGTCAGCTTGGAAAATGAATTAAACCAGTCCTGAAAGTTGGTTTAGTGCAAAAATCTGCTGACATCCCCACCGTGCTCCTACTTGGACGCTCTT